ATATATATAAAAAATAATAAGAAAGAACAGTAAGATTTAGAATGAGTTGTCCTTAGTAGACATATTACTTTAAAAAAAAGTGCTTCATGCAAAACAGTAGAGCAAAATATTATAATTATTTTCTTTTTAAAGAAAGAATATTATAATTATTTTCTTTTTAAAAATATGATTCCATATGGAATCATATTTTTAAAAATAAAATAATTATATTTATATATATATATATATATATATATATATATATATATATATATATATATATAAAGAGAAAAGAGAAGCCACAATTGTTTTTGGTTATAATGTGGATTTATTTATATAATTTTTTAAAATATTTATTATACATTGTTTTCCATATTTATTGCTATACAGGTTTAAGGTCGTGTGACCATCATCAGGCAAAAAATAATCATTTCCACATATTATTTAAAGGAATTAAATTATTTTGTTTTCCTATGTTTCACCATTGTCTTTTATGTGTGGTAGCAATTAAAATTCTTCTTGGATTAGTAGAGAAAATGTTCCTCTGTTTAAAGGGTAATAAAACAATTATTTATTTATTAAATAAATAAATGTGTGTGTTTGTGTGTTTTGTTAGTATGTGTATTTAGAAAAATGTGATAAATTGTAAAATTTATATTGATGCATTTTATCTGTTAGGATTTTAGCGAACTGGGCTTTGTTGATATGACCACATCTGCACATGTGCAAAAACCAAGAGATGCAGGTACTTTCAAAATTTTTTAATATATATATATATATATATATATATATATATAGAGAGAGAGAGAGAGAGAGAGAGAAGGAGAGAGAGATGCACAGAAAGACAGACAGTGCAGACATAGATGTTACCAAAATAGCTTTTGCACTTATTTTCATTTAAAGAAGTCAAATGCATCAGTTGGTTGGCCTGACTTCCTAGCAACCAAGTGCAAATCTACACTTCACCTGATGTCAGTGACTAGACCAAAATTTGTTTAGGAGGAAGAGTATCATATGACAGCATACATAAATACTAACCCCATTGAGAAGAGTGTCTCTGTTAAAAATGTAGAATCCATGTTCAGAAGGAGCCCTTGGACCACCCACTGACTGACTGACAGTAATTGATGAAATCCAGAGTTGAATAACATGTAATGTCATGTATCAGAAATTCACTTCTGTGTTTTCATTAGTAGTGTATGATGATAACATTACAGGAATCAAAAATGCATGGTAACTGTCATTTTCATGACATAAGTTATCTTTTTGGTCTGAAGATAGCTTAGGGTGTGAAACTGACTGTCATTATGCAATATCTGTCTATATCTATAAATGCTCTGTCTCACTTTTGTCCCATAAATAAAGCAAATAAAATGAAAAATTTAATTCACTAACAAATTCAGCAATTATTGGATGTGATAAAAAAAAATCTATGAAACTCGGAGTTCAGATTCGTATGCAAGTTAATTATTTTATTTTATTTTGTTACTACTACTAATTATATATATATTATGTGCCTCTTGTTCTTAAATTTCATGTGTGTCTTGTTCAATAAGTCATGATTTGACTTAATGCTTGATCGTCATTTTTTGCTCAGCAGTTATCTGTTATGACAGGAGGAAAAATTTTCTTCCAAGAGCAACAACATGGCTTTAATAAGTCTTAAAACAATGAAGCTGCAGAGTTTGTCATATTTCAGTTTTCACCACCATCCTCTTATTACTAGCGTTACTGTTTTTGGTTTTTAAACTAATCATTTTTAACAAGGAGATATAGATGGCCTAACAGTTAATGGCACTCAAAATGGATTCTGCCAACTGAATTTAAATTTAATTCTGCAAGGGCTTGTCTTCACTTTGCACTAATACCCTTGGAAAAGGCATGAATACATCTATACCCTCTCCTACAGCAAAGGAATTAGTGAGCCATTCAAATTCTAACAGAACAGTTTGTGTTCACTTTTCACTAATGGATTAAATTAACTAATGGTTAAATAACAGATTGGCTTTTCTAATCTTAACTGGCAATCACTCTAGGAGATGGATAAGTATGAATTCAAAACCAGAATATTAAGTGTAAGGCTAGCAAATCTACCCCATAAAAAAATCCTACAAAAACTGTACTAGTAACAGTACAGTGATATGTTGCCTTTACTCACTATTCTAGTTTTCATATACATTATTATTTTGTTCATTTAAAACAATCACCCTATCTATTCCCGCTTCATACTGTCTCATCTGCTGGACACCAGAATCTCTACTTCCATTTTCTTTAAACTATTCTTTTTTTACCCCCTCTTTAACTAGAACATGGAATATCAGACTTACACTTATAGCAATACACCATTTTTATGGTCAGTATCGATATTCATTGCTTCTATAATGTCTTAGCCAGATCAGACCAAAAATGGAGTATTGCTGGAGCTGCCCAAACCTCACTTTCCAGCCATGACTGTTATCTTTTAAAAGTACAGTAAAAGCATTTGTGCAGCCTTGTGGGTGATGAATTGTTTTCCCCACAGATGAATCATTGCTAGCCTCTTGCTACACTGTCACATACACAGTTAAATCATGCTCCTACCCTTCATATTCAATTGGTAAGGAGGAAGTTCCAGTTAAACTGCTTCTTCCCTAGAAATGTCACATTATGGAATGGACTCAAGTGAGGATGTTTCCCTGATCACTACAGTCTTAACCTCTTCAAGTCTAGGGTCAACCATTCTCTATGCTACATATCCTCAAAATATGCATTTCTTGCTCCTTCCATGTACACACTTATAACAACCTCATTTTGTAAATCCTCTAACATGTGTGGTTCATTGTAGTAAAAAAAGATGTTTCTGTAGAAAATAGAAACAAGATACTATGCACCTTTTGAATTTGAAATTGGTTTAAATTGAAATATTTCAAAAATTCTGATTTCTTAAGTGGATGTGCAATGGTGTAATGGATAGTGATTCAGAATGAGAAATTGGAGAGCTGAGTTAGAATTTCAGTCAAGTTCTCTGCATTTATTTAAACACAAATACCTTTGGAAAAGGTACAAATCCATCCCCCAGCTATGGGCTAAATAGTAGGATTTGTATCAGTAAAATCATTACTTAAATTTTTTTTTTAAATCAGTAATGTGATATTCACTCACAAAAAAAGAATTATTCTTCCAATCCAAAAAATGTTTCCACTTTAAATAACTGCGAAAGGGTTGATAAGCCATAAAAAAAATCAATCAAATCAAATTCCTTGATATTTTCAACAAATTGTTAATGCAATATTTGCTCACCAAAATTCTTTCAATCCAAAATATGTTTCAGCTTTAAATAACCCACAACGGGTTGATAAGCTGACTTCTTAAAAGTGAAATTGTTTTAAACTGGCACTCTCTCTCCAATTGTAGAATGATATCCATATTTTCACTCTGATAACAGAAGCAACATCAGCAAGAAAGGAATGATTTTTTTTCTCTGGCACTTACATATTCATAAAATTTCATAGAATTGGAAATGTTATTTCCTCATTATTAAAGTAAAAACTAAAATAGCAGGAGTTAAAGTGCAAAAACACACCCACTGTAAAGAACTGTATTCTATAGCCGTGTTGTTTGTACAGAGTAGAAAAATTTGAAAGGATGTTCATATCACCTGCTTTTGTTTTGACTTCCCTAAAGTAGAATTTTCATTTAATAATTCTGTTTCAGAAACATACTTTTGACAATATTGACAAGACAAGACAATTGTTTCCAAAACACAAGGGTTTCCACATTCATCAGCTATATTGTATCATGGTTCAAATTTGAGCTGTGCATAAGATTGAAAAGATGAGCCATTACTGGCAAGCCATTTAGAAAAGCCCTAATTTTCTTGAAACAGACTTTACTTTCCTCATGATATGGTCTCTTTCACATCTCATGCAAAGCTTTCTCCAAACAAATTAATTGAGTTCATTCAGTTGGAATATTCTCAGCCCTCAACATGAATCTTAACTTCGTTAAGACAGATTGCTTCTACTAGGAAGCGTCCTTTGTGGCCTTAACACAAACAAGTAATGTGATTGGATCCATGAGAAACTGGAAACGCCTAATGGTGGTGATAAGCTGTTGTCGATAACACAATCTACTTTTTCCAAGCTACACAGTAATGGTAACAATTGGTTTCCACCAGCTAAAAAATTACATATCACTGGCTCCAGAAAAGAACCTTTTGTCAGGCAACTTTAAAAAACAAAAAGACAAAGAATTACAATATTGGTAAGTATGTTTTACATTAAAGAAAAAAAGTCTACATTAGGGAGACTACCAAATCTTTGTAACTTATATTCTACAGTGAAAGAGTGTCAAATTATTTATTAAGTGCTACAAAGGACAGCCATGATCGCCCACGTCGTGATGGAATATGGCACATAGAAGAAGAAAGAGAGGTAGTTTTTTTTATTGATGTTAGTAAAATTCTGAGATCAAAAAGCATATTTTCATTCACACATGTTTTACTGGAAATTCAAGTCAACAAATAGCTAAACTATTTAGCTTTTTTTTTTCTTTTTCTCATTTTGAAAACGTTAATTAATGGTTTCATCAGTTATTAGGAAGTAGTTTCTCATTTTGAAAACTTTTTAAACAATCCTTTTCATATACTTATGGTAATGTTAGTGTTTCCATACAGAAAGTGAAATATTAGAGCACATAATGAGGAAAGAGGGATTAGAGAATTTGACACTCACAGGAAGGCAAGAGGAGCAGAAGAAAATAGGGAATAACCTATCTAACAAGCAGATAAATGCAGAACAGGGAGAGATAGTAGAGTTTCCTTTGAAAGTATTGGAAGCATATTGAGAACACAGGAAAGCTGTAAATATCCTACCTTATGTAAACGGTTGGCAGAACAGGAAATAGGAGACATAGCAAAAAGATAAAACTTATTAAGGGCCACAAAGCACAGGAAATTGTGGGGAGTCATAATTACCCACATAATGAACTTTGCATAAAGGGAAATGGTATAGAGAAGAGTTAGGAGACATTAGTCAACTTACCTTATTTTGATTTAACTCAGCAAAGTATTTTAACATTAGTTCCTCAGTTGCTTTACTGTTAACAGATAACCATTCTTCCAATTTTTTGCTGGCTTCAGTCTGCAAATCAGTATGTGGATCCAGGTGACTTAGGAAAAAGGCACGTAGATTGCGTACATGCTGGAAATCATGATCAAAATGAAAAAGATGGAGATAATTGCTCAAGTAATCCATGAAATAAGAATAAAAATTAATTTCAGAACTACAGGTAACATTCAGTCAATCAGAGAATGTCATTAACCAAAATATTGATTAAAAACAACAAAAATGAAGATAATGTAAATTGGCTTCAGTCATTTTCCCACTGCTTAAAATACATCCCCTATGCTTTTTCTATAAATATTTTCATGGTAACTGTTCTGATGGGCTTTTCTTTTGGGTAATTTATGAATTTAAGTGTACTACTAGATTGGCAGCAATGTCTAATCATCTTACAGTTGAAATGACAAGATGTAATTGTAAGTTCTTTGTCAATAGTTTCTTCTCTTGTATCTCACTCTTGTGAAACTCTCTTTCAGCTTCTTGCTTTCCAGTCAATTTTGATCTTTAAAAATTAATATCAATCATTATCTTCTGTCTTAATTATTGTTCTTTTATTGTTCTCACTCCTTAATGTTTTTCTTTTTTTTCTCATATTCTCTAACATTCCCCATGTATCTTAGTGGTTTTATTGATTTGCTTGGGGGTGAAATGATTAAAAAAATTTCATCTTGAAATAACAATAACTTCTGTAAGTCTGGGAGATGAATCAACCAAAACATTGTTCTAAAAATAACAAAGATTAGGATACTAGTCAAAATAATGACCTCACTATCTCAAATAGAAATTCAATAGGTGATTTAACAGTTCCATGAGGGAGACAGGAGTAAATCTTCATTTTTCTAAAATTCATTCAGGTTTATTTAGATAGCCTTTATTTTGTATAAAAGATTAACTTTTATTTGATATAATCAAAACTGTAATATCATAAAACTGTAATATCATTTTAATCGGTACCTTTATACTGATTCATAATAAAGTTTATATTGATTAAAAAAATACCTTATCTATGAGACAATTTTAAGTTGTAATGGTAGACAGTTACTGTGAAAAACATGCTTGTAGGTCATCAATTGGTGATTTGTCTGTTCATTTAATATTGATTATCTACAAGCAAATTTTGTTGTAGTTATCTCCATTAGTCTCTATAATTATATGTGTATTCTTAGAAACAGAATAATGGATTTTTGGTCACTATCATGAATAGCCTTTTTTGGAAAAAAATATCAAGTGATTCTCAGAAGAATGCTAAAGTTTTCAACAATCATTTGTGCTTGGTTTCATTTCAGGCTAATGTTCACTGCCATGACAAGTTCCATCCCTTTAGTTATTGTTATTGTTCTCTTGTTCTGTTTCCATTTTCTATGTTTGTTTTTTCTGTAATAAAGTGTGTTTCTCTCGCTTATTTTCAATCTCCATTAAGGTTAGTTGTTTTTTCCTTATCCTTGAGAGTCACTTGACTGTACAAGTTGGTATTCTATCATTTGTGATTAATTAAACTAGACGTAAGACACTCTGTCTTAATGGTGTGGTGGCAGCAGTTATCAAACTACACACAATAAAAAAACATATTTCATACCACTGAACAACCCCATTCCTGTACAGTTGGTTACAATCTGGCACCCGGATAACAAGTGATCCTCCCCCATTATAGAATGAGTTCAACAAGAGCACCTAAAATATGGTGTCTAGTCAAATTGGAAATGATAAATTCCTTTCAAAGTTGGAAACAAAACCTAACATACATCCTGTTTCTCAATCCCAATTTTAGTAGTTTCCTTGCTCCTAACACCACATGGCTGAAAAGGACAAGAAACAACGCCAAACAAGTTTTTATCTACAACAGTGACACTATACCTGTAACGAACAGGTGGACAGCTACTCAAAAAGTAGTACACCTAGAACTAATGTTGGGTCAAATAGCTAACTATTGCCCTATTATATCTAGGAACACTGTCATCAAGGACTCCACCTCCATTGAGTTGACATTGGCAAGCCATCCGGACCCACTATGGCTTTCAATCCACTTTCTTGACTTCTTGGACATGAAACTCAAATTCAACGAGCACCCTGAAGACGTTTACCAACGCATACTTTCATTCACTGAAGACAACCTCCTCAAAGTCAATGGGACCATCACTCACCACAGCAAGATTATCAAAGAGGACAAGGACATAAGCCTTTCCTTTGAGAACCTGATAGTTCTATTATGGCTAAAATTTACCCATCCAGAGCTACCCAAACTCATGAAACAATGGTATGGGACTGAGCTAAGATTGAGAACCCTATCCTCCCTGAAACCTGAGATCTCACAATCAATTATGACACTTTTTGATGAAATCAACAGCTCCCAAAAAGCCAGGATAATGGGATCCATCCCAAACAGCTCACTGTTCATAACCTCACAAGACCAACATGCTACCCAATATTATAAATTCAAGACCCTAACACTGCGTCCATACCCAGTACAACACCATCAAAACTCAAAGGAATGCTTTGTTTGTAAACAAGTCAGATGAACTGAGACTAACCATTACCTCAGCTCATACCTTTACTTGTCTGATAATGATAAACACTTCTTAATGAAGGCACGCTTAATAGCATCCATTGATGAGGAAGTCCCTATTGATGACATCATTGAACCACTCAATGAGTTCATCCTATAATGAAACAACCCCATGACCCTCCTGGTCACACATGTGCATGTTGTGTACAGGCCAAATAGTCCCCATATATGTATATGTTTTATAGGCATCACCCACTGAAAACTACCCTCAACTTGGGAGCCAAAATCAATAAAACCTTCTGTTGCTCAATTCATCGTGGCCGCCATACTACCATCCTCACAAATTCCATTTCAGGCCAATGGTGTTGCACCAATGGAAGTGATTAGGGAAACACACCTAGAACTCTATTAGAATGGCAGATCTTTATGACTTTATCTCATTTTATATAACTAGAGATGGTAGCAAACCAAAAGTCACTGACTTCTACAGCACTAAGTTGAAGGATTTGCAGATAGACTGGCTCTCCTGTAAAGTGGAAGCTAGCATCAACCACTTCAGCTCATACTTAATTCAGTCCAGAAAGCAAACCTGCATCCTAACCAATGGAAAACCTTCTGTCCAGTCAGTTGAGAAACTCTGTCATGATGAGTTTTCCACAAGTCCAAGAGTCACAACCTTTCTTTCATCAATAAATAAATCTCCCTTCACCATCTGAGTGGCTCATCTAACCTCCCATCATCTTTTCATCAATAAGTAAATCTCCCTTCACCATCTGAGTGGCTCATCTAACCTCCCATCATCTTTTCATCAATAAATAAATCTCCCTTCACCATCTGAGTGGCCCATCTAACCTCCCATCAGATTTCCAATGATCCAGAATGTCACAACCCAGGATGCAAAATCTGCACTTTTATACCCCAACTTGAAATCACTCCTGTACGCAACATTTCCATCAAGGACGTCATCTCAGGCTCTTGCAAGCTGCCCTTCATCTCCTGTTCTACATGGAAACAGGTCCAGACAGAATGCTCTGACTTACACCGTGCCCATCTTGTGCAAAGCATGAGACCATCCAAGAAGGTCACCAATGCTAATGATATGAAATTATATCTATATCATGTATCGATCACCAGTGATGATCTCCTCATTGTCAGATGCAAAGAAGCTTTCACAGATATAAGAAAATGCATAGTTATTCCCTGACAAATATTCCACGGCTTATTACCCACCCTCCACGTCAAGCTAGACTGCCCTTCTCACCAACAGCTATCAATGTACTTCTTTGCAACAAATATATTGAAGATATATCATCATCCTGCCATCTGTGCTACTCCTTACGCAAAGTCCCTGAGACAATCGTAACTCAATCCACCTCCAAACTCCCAGCATTGATTGGCACATCATACAGTGTTGACATATTAAAATGTAACTGCTGATCCTGCAACATTACATGACAACATAGTTTGAATGTGCATAGATATATGCCCACTCAAAGGCCTATACACAATAATCCGCAACGATCCTGCTCCAGGATTCATCAGCATTAAAGATGACCCGATCTTTCAGTCAGAGAGAATAAAAAGGCATCCTGTACCCCTGACTGGACTACAGCAGTCTACTAGACAAACTAAACCACCCAAGTACCTTGAGAGTCACTTGTCTATACAAATTGGTATTCTATTTATTAATTAAACTAGACATAAGACAATCTGTCTTATTGGTGCATTGAGTAAATAGAGAATTCAAGAAACCAGAGATTTATAATATTAGGACTTTAGTTAATCTGTTTAAACCTGCATCAACCTAGAAATTGGTTACAGAAAGAACATTAATAAAAACCCAATTGCAGAGCGTGCTATACAAGAGCTAGAATTAGAACTTCTTCATCAGGACCTGAGTGGAGATCCTATCTCAACACTGACCTTAGCTCTGGCTACCAGTCACTTAAACTCTCATTTACATTTAAATAGCCTTTCCTCTTGTGAGATGTGGTCCCAGAGAGACCAATTCACCAACTTCACAATCTCTATCTGACAAACTAAACCACCCAAGTACCTTAGGACTTTAGTTAATCTGTTTAAACCTGCATATAAGAAACAGAGCTTGTGAAGAAAATCATTCCTCAATTGAGAAGCACCAAGTAACCATACAAGACCTAAACCCCACCTATGCTAGGGTGATATTGTGTACTTGTACTCAGATAGCAATAAATCCCAGGGATATGATATATATTGTTTGCTCTATGGACAACCTCAAATGGTGCCAAATCAGAAAGTTTGTGAGAAAGCAACTCAGACAATTATCATATCAGGTAAAACAATTGGAGTGTTACAAAGGCCCCAATGCTTTCAATCCTACATCATTTCTGCTTGCAAGTCGATGTAACAATGAAGATTCCAGTGAAGATGACAAGAACAACACACTTAGTAGCACTACTAATAAAACCCCCACAATACCCACTGAAATATCTGACCACCTCACATATCAAGAGATGACACCAACAGATGATAAACCAACAACATTGATTGACACCAAAAACTCAACAGAGAGAATAAAAAGACTACCAGCAGTCTACTAGACAAACCAAGCCACCCAAGTACCTTGAGAGTCACTTGTCTATACAAATTGGTATTCTGTTTATTAATCAAACTAGACATAAGACTGGTGCATTGAGTAAATAGAGAATTCAACTTTGAGAGAAGAAACCAGAGATTTATATTAGGACTTTAGTTAATCTGTTTAAACCTGCACGTGTTCCCTTATATAAGAAATTGCAGGAAGTGATAAAGCACTTAGGTTTTACTTTTCTTCAGTTGTTAGTCTACTTTTTTCATTTTGACCAATCTTTGGGCAATCTTCATAAATATATTAATATTATGACCTTTCCTCCATCTTAGACATTTGAAAGGTTCTAATGATATTGCATGTCAGAATATCATAGTGCCTAAACATCTTGCACCAAGAATATGTTACAATTTTGTCAATAAAACTGAAATATAGACATTGTTTCAGTATAGAAATTAAAAGTAATGCACAGGGCTTCAAAATTTTTTCAAAAATCCAGTATAAGGTGAGGAGAAATGGCTTTTATAATTTCATCTAGCCATGTTTCTAACCCACCAAGTTAGTTTTGTTCAATCAGATAATTCATTTAAAAATATAGGTACTTTCATATTTGTCTGGCTGCCTGTATCTCCTTTTTAAAAGTCTGTCCCTCTGTATATATAACAACTAATATGCCATTACAATCTATGAAATGCATAGTATATAGGTGATTGCAATATCATAACTAAGGATCATTATCTCTTTTAGAGGCCAATATTTAGCCCTGGGTGGTGACTGAGAAATTTGTCTCTTTGCCTCTAACTTCTTGTATTGGTCACAGAAGCCAGGTGAAAGACAGAATTTTCCATTGATTTTAAAAAAAAACAGTATAACGTAAAAAATTCTGGGAAAGTAAAGAATAAGATTCTAGATTTGATTTCCTTTAACTATTGTTGCTTAGAGCTAAATCAATAGAGCAAATAAAAGTGTTCTCAAATGGAAAGAGGGATGAGAGTTCAGTTCTTAACAAGAGCTTCATTATTTATTTATCTTCATTGTTGACTCACATAATGACAATCAAATGCAACTGAAATTAAGATAAAAAGGTGCACTAAACAGTTTCATTATTAATTTTGGCTAGTATAATAAATGAATGAATGATTCAGTTTAGTGCACCTTTTTGCCTCAATTAGATGTAAACAAAGATGATATTCAAATTTTTTTAATGGATAAAATCTGGTACTAATTATAAAAATTGTAGAAACATAGAATTATAATAAACATTCATTTGATAAAATATGTATACATATATTCCTTGAAAGAACATTTAATTCTTTTAAATGTACATCATGTCACAAAATTACTTTCCCAAGATTAATCAAAAAAGAAAACATGGGAGTGGTAACCTTGACAGCATTAAAGTAAGCTTTAAGCACATTTCTGAAAAAAAAATCACTGGAACAGCTTATTAAAAATTACTTTAATAAATTTATACATCAGGTTCAGTTTATTTCTTCTTTCTGGAACAATTTTAAAACATCAAAAATAACAATTCTCATAACCAAATTCCAGATGTTTTATTTTTGTTTTTTATGGGAGTGATCTCAGCTAATTTAGATTGAGTCATTATTTAAAAATGAAAGTTTACAGTGTCTTCAGGTTTTATTTCTAAAATTGGCAAAGATATCAAGTGGATGACAAACAATTAAAAGAAAATGACAGAGAAAGTGAAAAAAAACAATAATAAAGTTTTACAAGAAAAAAAAAAGAATACTTTAAATGCACTTTTGTTAAAATTTAAAAAAAGGTAATGGCATGAATTGCTCACCTTGTGTAATGTTTGATAATATTCAGCTTCTTGCTGTCAAAATGAATTAAAAAAAGCAATAATTAGAATTTTTTTTCTTTATTTTGAGAATGGAAATAATTTTAAAGAATGTCATTATAAGACATTTTGCAGGAAATTGTTTCTTTTAAGGTTAGTTAAATGCAAGAACAGTACCAGATCAAGAAGGATTGATATCCACTCTTGGATCATGGGAAAGTGGATGTGCTTAAGGTCAAAGGTTAATAGAAAAAAAAAACAGAAGAAATAGAGAAGATAAAGGTAAAAAAATGAAGAAAGAAAACAAAAGAGAAACACACATTAAAGAAAATGTCATTAAGAGAAAGAAATAAAGAAAAATGAACAAAAATAAAAGAAAAGAAAAAAGAGAGAATAAAAAAGAAAGAAAATGACAGAAAAAAAAAATCCAAAAATTAAAACAGACAATTGGTAGAAAATGGAAGATAAAAATAGTGAATGACATAGAAGGAAAAGTAGGAGAAAAAAGTAGTAAATAGAAGTTGGCATGAAAAAAAAAACAGGCATCAGAAAAAATCTTTATATATGGAGATAAGAAAAGACTATTTCATAGAAAGGATAAAAAGTAAGGAAAAAAACAAAGGTATAAAGGAGAAAACAAAATGACTGAGAAATAGATGATAAAATTCTTAAGTCAAAAAAATAGATATAAAAAAGGGAAGCATCAAGTGTAAATAAAGAACAAAAAAACTTGCAACAAGTATATGACATAGAAGGCAGAAAGAATTTGAAAGGAAAAATTAAATAATGAAGGATATAAGCAACTGTAAATGGATTTTCTTTTTCTTTTTCATTTCAAAATAATCACAAACTTTTAGGAATACGTTATGAAAGCGTCGCCCATGTGACGACAGCGTGACCATGTTAGACGGAAGGCTGATCATTTTAAAAATTTTCAGTTATCTGTTCTGAATAAGACTTGTGTTTTTATGTCCATAGTATTTGTCATATTGAACTGAATTGTATTTTGATGAATATTGTCTTGAAAAAGGTTTAATAAACCGAAACGTCAGACGTCGACATTTCTTTCATTTAACTACATTTAAGGATTTTTGTTTGTTTTTTCAAAATTTCTTCAATGAAGGATATATATGAGTTTCAGCAGAAAAGGGTTAACAGTTTTGTGGGCCACCAGGAGCCTCTTCTTACTACTGTCAAATGGAGAAAAATGGCATGGTTACAACAACCTGTGCAAGACCATCATGCAAGGCACTGTTGAAGATGGATGTAGGAAGGGATGCCAAAGTAAAAACTGTTTGGATAATGTCAAACAATGGACAAGGTATGACTATACCACTATCACTGATGGCTGCTGTTGATAGACTGTTGTGAAGGAGATTTAGGGTGGCTTCTGCATTCAGATACCCCCCTATGATTACAAAAGTCAAGGGGATTATTTTAATCCTCTCAAAATTCATGGATTAATTTCTTAGTGTCAGTACAAAACTGATCAAGAAAAATGCTGTAATTATCCATATGGCCTTTATTTTCCACGAGTACTTTCAATCTCATCCAAGATCATTTTCAGGGGTGAATTGCTAAGACAAAGAATTAATGTAAGATGAACGCCGTAAAATTCAAAACATTTACCACTATGTAAGAGAGTAACATATAAATTCTTATTAAAAATTGTAATTATGTTTTAAAATATTAATTGTAGTTTTTAACAATTAAAGTTTAGATATTTAAAAACCTTGCTGTTATAAGTATTTTAAAACATGTAATAAGAATTTACATAAATTAAGTTACCTCCCATACATAGCAATTTCGAATTTTACAAAGTTCATGTTCACGCATATTCATAACTTACATTAAAAAGGTTAGGTTGTTTTTTTTATACACATTCTTTTGCAAAAAATTGTTACCCTCAGACAGAGATCCAGTATTTTCAGTTAGAGAAAATTTTAAATTCTGTGATCATATGTATTAAGTTATAGAAATGAGTAGAGAATGTTTATATATATATATATATATATATATATATATATATATAAATATAAAAGTAACATAGAAGTCAACACTTAGAGGCGACAGTCTGTTTCATGCTAGATGCAATCGTCAGGCCTGACGATTTCATATATAGCATGAAACAGACTGTTGCCTCTAAGTGTTGACTTCTATGTTCACTTTTATATTTATACACGCCTATCTCTGATATTGAGCACTTTATCCCATAAATATAGTACACCTTAAGACTATATTTCTTCATATATATATATATATATATATAAATTTAAATTTTCGTTTTCTTTTATCTATTTCATGTAAAATTGTAAATTCAAACTTTTAGATTCAATGTTTGATTATATAGCATTTATGAAAGAGGATTTACAAAAGTCAATCTTTGTGGATTCTTATTTGCATTGACTATGATAAAATCACAAACCTCTAACTGAATATCTTTGTGAAAATACAAAAGTGTGTTAAATCTGTCTTCTCTCATTATCCTTTTCAGCTCAGCAGTTAAAACCACCAGAATTGTGAAGAGTCCATTTCAAGTTAGAGAAAATTACTTTTTTGTACATACAGACCAATGAGAGACATGGCCTCAAGGCCAAGTAAGAACCTGAATCGGGGACATCTGTGAGTTTATTTTACAGAATAGATAGAACTCTGGTCAGTAGAGGAGAGAAGACTTTTTGACATCAAGAAGGCAACAGTTATCAACCAGCTGCAGAGATACTAGATGTTCACAAGTGAAAATTCTCCTGTAGTTGGACAACAAAGAACAAAAAAAAATTCTAAGAAATTTTCCCAAGCACAAACAGTGAATTTAAGAAGGACTTTTCTAAAATTAATATATGTCCCAGAGATACTTGTGGAGCAAGTAAAAGTAGGTGTTTTTTTCTGAAACATGGATGCACCTTTGATATTCTGTCTTTGTGAATTGTTATCTCTTTTTGTCATTTTCAAAATCCCTGTCTTTTCACAAACTATTTTTTTTTTCATTTTTTGATAGAAATATTTTTATTTGAAATTGTTTTCCTGCTTTAATAGGTGCACAAAGGAAATTCTTGTGTAAACTTTTTATTTGTACTTTTTTGTAATTGTGTAATAAATGTTTTTTTCCCCTTTCAAATTTTATGCGGTGTTTGAGTCTTGTTTATAATTTTTAACTATTATGACTTGCTATTCCCATTAACTAGGTTTTTGTGTTTGGCACAAGAACTTAAATTTAGTGGTGAATAAAATTTTTATATATTCATTATTGCTCTAAATATTAATCTTGGGACCAATGTCAAAGGACATTGTACATACAATAATTCTAGTCTATCAGTCTAGTCTATATATATTATTTCCTGTATCTAACAATCCCTTTCTTCTTGTTTTTTTTTAGTCCACAACAAAGTTCTCAAATAAAAATTTAGCTCAAAATTTGAAAAATCCAGTGTTTCAGTGTCAAATTTTTATCCTGTTACCAAAAATATTTACTTTGTCAATGCAAGAATGAAACAGGAACAGCAGAATAGTGGTAAATTTACTGGGCACTTATATGCATATCTGAAATTCTGCTTGTGTATACCAGATTCAGAGATCATTGGCATAAGAATACCGCCATTATCGATTCATTTATTTCTTCCTACCTCACTATCAGAATCTGCAGTGTCATTTTATATTAAATCATGGGAGTGAAAGTTTTCAAGCCTTTGCATTAATAAGCTCTACCCATAATATAGAATTCAAATATATAATAAAATTGAATTAGGTTATATTAAAACAAGTTTTACAAAGAAAGCTATTATTTTTTTTAAAATTATCTTGTAAACATGTAGCTTAATAATAGAATTAATGAAAGATAAAGGATTTGCAATAATTTGGAAAGAAAGAATAAAATTAATTGGACTTACCCCTGTGCCCACTTTTTCTTGTAAGAGGGTTATCACCATTCCCCATAGTTCCTCAATAAACAATGGATAGACAGATTGGTGCAAACGACGCTTCAGTGTGTCCATATTGCTTTGCAAATAATTCTTCAGATCCACAGAAGACTGCAGGATTCAAACATAAAAAATAAAAACCAATTTCAAAGATTTCCATCTGAGTTTCTGTGATGACAAGCTTGAAATTATTTACATTTGAACAAATATCATCATCTTTGTTGTTATCATGTTTGGGCTATTGTGCACTCTGGCCTTCATCAGTTGCATGTCAATCAAAGTAACTATTTATTATGTGGTTATTTAGAGAAATAATAAAAGCAATATTTTATTGAAAATATGCACCTTCTGTTACTATGGTGGATTCTGACTGATCATTTAGGTCAAAAAGCTCTGGGTAAGACACGAAGAATGGTCCATTGTGACAGTCACACAGTACATATCACCCAATTGTATCTGACTACCAGAGCATGCCCCTTCCTTCTGATTTGCAACTAGTTCTTGATATGTTCAAAATGGCTGGATACTTCTAGAACAGACCTTTATTCTTAGTTTTAACTTTGTGCTAAAAGATCACATTGAATTGTAATTGCAATAACTGTTATGTCAGCATACACTTTTAAAAAATGTCAAAATTGGCATAATTATGTTTGATTGAAGATTAAACAAAATAAGCAACCTTTTTGGTGTATTATGCTTTCTTTATTTGAATAAATTACAAAAATTTGTAACTCAAACAGAAAGAAAAATTTGGGCTGGTTATGGAGAAGGTACTAAAAGTGGGTTGCAAAATTCACAATGGATGGGTAAACTTAGTTGAGATTAATAGTTCCTTGCTATCAACTCTGAAATTTTCAAGAAGAAAACAAAACAAATGATAAGTTTTGTCAATTTGCATATCGAAGTCAGTCCATTTTGCAATGACTTTATTATGTGGTTATTTTGAGAAATAATAAAAGCAATATTTTATTGAAAATATGCACCTTCTGTTACTATGGTGGATTCTGACTGATCATTTAGATCAAAAAGCTCTGGGTAAGACACAAAGATTGGTCCATTGTGACAGTCACTTTGCTATTTCTTAATATATATATATATAAATAAATAAGATGTAATAATACATCAAAACAAGAATGCATCTTTGTAGTGAGTAATTGTTTTTGTCCACATGTAAAACTCTATAATAAATATATGTGTGTGTGTGTGGGTGTGTGTTCACACAAGGGAGAATCTTTTAAACTAAAACATGCATAGGTGTGTGGTTTTCAAAGTATTACCTACCATTATGCTGTGTAATGAATTCTATGTATGTAAATGTAAAATTTCGATCTGAATTTCTGGAATGAGGTTTTATCATTATTTACATTATTTATTGTCCTCATCTTTGTTTTTATCATCCTCTTTATCTGTAAGAAAATTGCCCAACATTCACTGCTATAGAGCAGGAGTGGTATTACATAGAAGTTCAATAGTATTTTTTAATGTTTCTTATGAATTTTTTGTTTCTTAATACTTTATTTAGCTTGTGAAATCTATCTTTTGATATTCTGATGCACATTGGGATTTTTGTTTTAGGGTAAAACAGCACAAAATCAGATGAACTTGGTCTCTGGATATTCCAATTCAAAAGCACCACCTCCCTATTGCTCTGAAGAGGAAGTTCTTTGACTCTCCTGACACATTTAAGCTGATGTACTTTATTCTTAGATATTCCAACTCTGACACAACTCCTCACCATTGCCCTAAATGAGAGTCTTGGGTTATTCTGATACCTTTTACAAAGCCCATAAGAAAGTGGTGGGGATGGGGAAGAATCGCTTAATTTTCATTGCTATTCAGACACACACACACACACACACACACACACACACACACACATACATATGTGTGTGCGTGTGTATGAAATATCACATTAACACCCCTATCTTATATCATCTTTGCTTATTAATAAAACCCAATAAAATGAAATTTTGTGGGTGAACTAAAAATTACTTTCAGGACTTTCTTTCTATGAATTCAAGAAGAATGAAACAACCTGTTAGTATAAAAATAAAGGAATGTCAATGTGCATAAAGAAAAATATAAATATGTGAATGACGGACTTCGACAACGGATACGGAGAGAATATTTTATTCGACTCCTCACTAACTACTGAGTATCAACAAACATGGCCGCCGCCCCGACTTCCGACCGGAAATCCCATCCCCGGCAGGGAGAGTTTTCAGGGGAGATCGCTCACATAGATTAACACAACCATTTGAGGAGGGTGCTGAAAAGTTCTCAACTTATCTCAGTTCTCAAAATCTTAACAAAGTGCCAAACATTAGAATTTTTTTAGTCTCATTTTTAATTAGATTAATTTATTAATTTGTTTACTAGAGCTTATCAACACTTTACAAGTTATTTAAAGCCAGAAAATATTTTTAGATTGTAAGAATCTTTTTTATGAGATAATAATGGTTTAGTGATACAAGCCTTACTAATTAACCCATAGCTGGGGGTAGAAGAGGTGGATTCATACTTTTCCCAAGGGTATTTGCACATAAGTAAATATAAGGAACCCAATGAGGAACTTGGCTTTGGAATAACTAAGAATAAAGTACATCAGCTTAAATGTGTCAGGAGAGTCAAAGACCTTCCTCTTCAGAGCAATAGGTAGGTGCTGCTTTTGAATTGGAATATCCAGAGACCAAGCACATCTGATTTTGTGCTGTTTTACCCTAAAACAGAAATCCCAACGTGCATCAGAATATCAAAAGATGGACCTGTGCATCCAAGCTTACAGCACCTAGTTTTAACAAGCAGTCACCCATCTAAGTACTGACCAGGATCAGCATTGCTTAACTTTGGTGATTATGCAGGAATCATTTTAATTAGAACAAGAATTTTTCTCACCTTCATAAATTACTTGTACTTTCATTTAATTTACATCAAATTTGAAATTTAATAATTATGAAATACTTGTAAAAAATTTGATGCACATTATACTTTCTACTTGAATTTGTATTTTTTGTTCACTTTTGAAAATGGGTAAAATTAAGTATCTGATTGAAATTGAGCTGAAAATAGACTGGCCAACATGATTATTATTCTTTTGGGAAAAGAATCCAACTGGACATCATTATTCCACTCACCCCTTTTATTAAAATTAAATGTCTGAGAATGCTTTCAACCTAAATTAAAAGGTGAGAAGAGATTTTCTAAATATTTAATAAAAGGGGAGTTGTAATAAGCAACTCCTGGGTGGATCCCCACCACAGTAAAGCATAATCATTCCAGCCTGTCCATTTATAAATCAAATGTATTTATTTTATTTAATAATGATGAAATACTTGTAAAATCTTTGATATTCTTTTTATTGGAATTTTTACTTTTGTCCCAAAAAGAAAACTCCATCAATTTTTGTGTTTCTGGTTAAAATGATGGAAATAGCTGGCTTTTCAATTAACAATACTAAACCTGCACATCCAAGCTTACAGCACCTGGTATTAACAAGCAGTCACCCATCTAGGTACTGACCAGGATCAGCATTGCTTAACTTTGGCGATTATACAGGAATCATTTTAATTAGACCAAGAATTTTTTCTCACCTTCATAAAATACTTGTACTCTCATTTAATTTCCATCAAGTGTGAAATTTAATAATTACATAATTGTTAAAATTGTAAGTAAAAAAAGATTCTTTCAAAATTGGACAAAACTGAAACAGTAGAGATGTTTAAATTTTATGCATTTTGATTTTTTTCCTTACAACTAAATTGGTATATCTGCTGGATTTGATGACTAAAATTAATGAGCATAAATAAAATTATGTAAGAAAATTGTGAATTAATCTCAGTGAAACTTGCAAACAATTCCCATAATCCCCTATTCTTTAGAAACCATACCTAAGCTTAGGAAATAAATTTATAGGATTATCTCACTGACTGAACAACTCACAAACCAAGTCTTCACTGGTGCCTCCAATGACTGTTGGCTTGCACCAGACTAGCCTTAGCAAAGAGTTAAAATAGAAAAATGTTTTTAAAAAAAATCAGTACTACTTGAGTAGACTGGTTGACTCATAAAAAAACAGAGAAAATTTTTTTTGAAAATAATTTTTTTAGATTTGCATTCTTTAGAACAAGGGTCGGCAACTTTTTGGATAGAGTGGGCCAGAAAGCCTTGCAGTATTTTGGAGGAGGGCCATGATATCATATGTACTGTAAATAAATAAATTGTCTCCATCTTAGATGCATCCATTCAGAAGGCTGCTTTGGTCTGGAGGTTTAAACAAAAAACAACAAAGTTAATGTTATATTATTTAACTTAATTTTTAAGTGAGGTTCCATATTTTACTGCAGGAATAACAGGATAACAACTAACAGAAACAACGAAACTGCTCCTAGGAGACGTTTTCTGGCACTGTAAATATTTTGCAATAATTTTTTATGACTCTCTTTTGATCTCATCAGTCAACGTGTAAGTCTCTCACGGAAAAACATGTTTCTTTTCAGGAAATGTATGAACAATACATACACACAATTGTACGTATGCACATTCACACACTTCACATATTTAGACCAAAATGTTAGCACATTCATTTGTTACACACATTATTGTCTTTGTCGCTTGTATAACTTCGTTGTTAATACACTATTATTTGTTTGTACATATATATTGATTTTTATTGTTTCTTTATATTTATTTTCATGGACTCACATCCCGAGTCTGCCATGTTTGTTGTGGGCATTTCAGGACACACACGTATTTATCTCTCAACACATACACTGGCACACAACAAATGAAATACAGTGAGGAATGGCAAATTATTTAATAAGACAAATGTTTCTGCTTAACGTTCAATAACTTCTCCACATCAGGTGAAATATTTGTCAATGATAGGAGCGAAACATTGTCCAGGTGGTGATTAACCAACCTTGTTCTTAACCAGCTTTTAGCATATTTAATTTTCGAAAAAAGTTGTTCAAAAGCATATGTACTTCCAAATGATGATACCATCATTTTCGCATTATTCAATGGATTTTATTTTCTGCTGAGCAAAATATATTTCTTGTAGAAGTCAAGAAAAACAAAATCAAATTTTGATTTAAAAAATTTGTTGCATTGTA